TGAACCGATGTTTAATGTGAAGCTTTAGGTTTATGTGAAGTATCACCTGAAATAGTTGAAAATACGTTCAGTTTATGTCCATTAGCGGCAAATCTTAACGATATGAAGAACATCGAGAATCGCTGGCTAACAAACAACACATCCAGCAGGCTGAATGAAGTACTTGGGCCATATTATCTTTCCATACCATGTAACTCATAATGTGTTAATTGGTTAATCCAAAAACATTATACATTTCTTACTCTTCTTTCATCACAAATTACATTAACTCTTTAATCTAAACTGTAAGTTTTACTTCTGTCCATCGTGTTAATTTTTTTTCTAACTATTTTGCACTCAAACATTGACTAATTTATTTAACCTAAGGATATCTTCTTCTCCTTAGTGTTTACTGACTAAGCTCCCGAGGTTGTTCGCCCACTTCTGGACCTTCATCTTGTTCCAGAATTTCAGCCTGTCATGCACATCCGTTTTACAGACCTGGCTTTCCGTATGCACACCGTTGGCTCCTCGCCTTTCACGCAGATCCACTCCGACTTCCTAAACAAACACCCCAAATTATAAGCTTTTTATAAAAATGCTTCTCTAATTTTTTTAATATATATTTTTTTTTTGGGGGGGGGGGGGGGGGGGGTGACATGCTCTTCCACACACCCAACTCCCTTTCCTTCCAAATGGGGCCGCCGAACCCAGACTATGAGCCTAGTGATTTAAAACGTTAGAGTAACTGCAGCCTGACATAGTTAAATACTAATGAACATTCAAGACCTAAAACAGGTGGCAACGAACTGCCAGACATGGAGAGCCATGACATCTGCCCTATGCGCCGTCCTATGTCCAAGAGAAAAGACTAACTAATAAAGTGACATGTTTTTGCCTGCTTTTCTTGCAGCTTTTCCTTTCTAGAGAGACACTTGTACTATTTTGATGAAACGAGTCTCATCCCATAGCTGCACTTGACCAATATCTAATCAAGCCCCTGCTAAAGACTAAATCAATCTGAGACTACCATGTTCACAAGAAGGCAGCTGAACATAGGTCTTACCACGGTTTAAGCCTTAAAACCTACAGTGTGCAATTCACGTTTACACTACAATTATAAGATTAACGATGTGGCAAGTGTTCCCAATTATGAACTCTGTTTTGCAATACATCTAGCTTGTGAACTACCTGAACACATTATGTCATTATCTGAAAGCACTAGGTCTGAATCTTCAGTGGGTTACTGCTTTCTGCATGTGACCTAATCCTAGCATATCCCTTATTCTAAAAGTGGAATTGTAATCATATATATTATGAATTTCTAATAATTATAATATATCATAGTGTTATACTGATTACTGATTCAGTAATCAGTATAACACTATGATATATCAATAGTAAAGAACTCTTTTTTCACACCTTTAGTCGTACCGGGCAGATAGGGTTAAAACTATAACAGAGTTATGGAGTAAACATATTCTTCTTTTCAGCTTTTCCCAGCCCGTAAGTTCACTGCTGCAGATATCACTCACATCCATTCATCTATGTGATTGGCCCTGTTTCCAGATGTTGACTCCAAGTGTCTGTAGGTACGCATTTATCTTATTGACCTACCTCATGATCTACTCCCATTTATTCTTTTGTGTACCTATTTTTTGTGTGGGTCTCTCTCTGTTGTCTGTCATCTCACTATATGCTCCAACCACTGAAGTCTACCAGTTCTCTTGATGCCAGTAACTGTTGGTTTTTAAACATTTTATACATTCTTTTTCTTTCATTTTTTGGTCAATATCTGCCTATGCCCGCTAGGTGTTGCAGTTCATCAGACGATCTGCAGCCGAGCCAGGACGTGCTCAGTCTCTTGATATGCCGTGATGTTATGCAGTCTCAAGGTGTCAGTGACTCCTTTAATCCATTTTCTTCTCGATCTTCCCCCTGCCTCTTAGTGTTTTGATTTTCAGGTTGTATCCTCCTGCTGCTGGCATCGTTGGTTTCATTCTTATTAGATGGCCAAACCATTTCATTCTTTGTCTCTCAACAAATTTGATGATGAGTATTGTTCCAACAGTTCTTGTGATCATGTTGTTTCTCTCTCGATCTCTTCTGGTTTTATTCACAGCCATTCTTAAACATCTAATCTCACATGTGGTTAGTTTTCTCTGGTGTTGCTTAACTGATACTGGCAAACTAGTGTATACAAATTTGCCTAGATAAACCACAAAAGCAAATAAATGCTAGGGTTAGTTCAGCAGTGTCTTGCAAAGCAAATGCAACTAACTTTAACTGGTAACTGTTACTATAGATAGGGGGTCGTGAGCCTGAGGATTTATGGCCACATGGCTGTTGCTGTCGCCATGAGCTGTGAAGGTTAGGATGTTTAATTTTACCCCTGAAAGAAATACCCCATCACCTTACCGGGGGTTGAACCCGGGTCTTGGACATGAGAGCCCGACGTTATAACCATCGTTATATTGCCATAAATTAGATGTAAATTACAAATCTGGACCCTTGCTGTGAACAGAGTTTGTGCACTGTGCTAAAAACCTCATACAGGAGGAGAATGGAGCACTCATGGAGATATTTATGTGTAATGATAGTAACTTTTCAGCAAAACAAAACTTATACTAAACAAACTAAATAAACATAACTGTTGTGCTTCAAATACTGGGCAGTTGAATACTTATTCTGAAGTACCTCTTTCCTTAAAAAAACTACAAAGGGTCTAGCATAGATGACTGAGGGCCTATGCTCCAGTGGGAGTTAAAATGCCCAAGAAAATATGTGGTTAAGGATTTACATGATATATGTTTCAAACAGCAGAAGGCTTGTCCTTGAGATTTACTGCTGCTGAACACCCCTCCCCCCTTCCCTCTCCACCCTTTTCCCTTTACAAATCTGCTGGGGGGAAAAAGTCCACTAGCCATAAATTGTACTGAAGTAACACTTCTATAAATTTACTCCTTCAACAAGTATACTTGTTTTGTTTACAAATAACAATTCTGCCTGGTTTTCTCTGTTACTTACATATCTGACAGCCGGTTAATTAAACATACAAAAATAATATTTTATACATCAGCAGACTGATTGCTTTTAACCCCTTTTCACTGTGTGGTTTCCAGGGCCCCCATTTTGGGAGGAAAACAGTAGAGACCCTTATCCCTTAACATGCATAATGTAAAAGGCAAAAAGGAGTTTGCTGAACTCAGATGTGCTGGATGGACTGAAAGCCAGATTTCGCAGCCTAGCTGTAAATCATAACACAATGTGCCAACCAGCCTAGTAAGGGTGAAAGCAGGAGAAAGCCCTTGTTTTAAATATATATATATATATATATGAGCCGCCGTGGTTTCTAGCAGCTATACGCTTGCCTGTGGATCGGAAGGTCCTGGGTTTAGGCCCTGAGGGGAGCTGGACTTTTTTCAAAAATGACCTTGATTCCCAGGTCGACCTAGCCTTGAGTGGGTGGTATCAGGTACAGTCCTGGAAAGTAAAGGCGGCTGGTATGATGCTGACCAAATCACCCACCCACCAAGTGCCGTTTGGTCTATAAATTTAGGTCTAGCATGTGGTGGCCATGTTTTGACAACAGAAGAAAAAGTGATGCGGCCAATATCAGGCTGGTTCCCTTCTCTTCTAAAGACACTTCTTGGTACCTATTTATAGGCTTAGTCAACCAGGCAGCCCTGCTAAATAAAAAATCTGCTGAACGTAGCCTTCAATAACATTAGCTATATCAACTCTTCTGAAATTAGAGGTCAAGACAGTTCTTCATTATTAAACTTGTATAAACTAAACAGGTTCTTATTAATTGTATATTGTTTAGTATTTAAACAGCTGATTGGTTATGTTAGATGTGATAATTTAATGTTTACAGATGACCTAATTCAATCCAATTTATAACAAGAAACTAAGGTGTTACACCATAATCCTGCAGTGACAAACACCTGTTTACTATTCCAGCCTCTATTATTTAATTAATTATGGTGTATTACAGTAAACTGTTGGCTCTGCATTGTTGTCCATGTCATCTCAGTCCTATAAAAGCTTGCAATGTAACAGGAAAGAGATCTAAAAAACACATGTTGGAAGAAAAGCCAAATCAATGGCAACCTTTAAGCAGACCAAAGAGAAAGAAACACCATCAAACACCTTAATTATAACTTACAAATAAAGGTTGGTATTTTAGGGAAATTAGTGTTTCAAATTAAATGGGCCTTAGGCTTAGTAGTATTCGCTATTTATTTAACGCTAGCCCTAAACCTACCCCCCCCCCCCCATATAATATAGTACTATCCAGGGAAACCCCTAATTCGCTATGAAATCTCAAAACCAATGAGATGTGGTATGAAATTAAAGTACCTAAATGTTGAAAAGAGTCAATTCTGAGGGGGGAAAAAGGTGTGCTAGTAGTGGTAAAGAGTTTGAGTTAGTAGTATTCACATAAATATTATCACTGTTAAATCTTCAAGGCCATAAATTATATATGTATATATAACGCTAATAGTATTTTTAGTGTATGAATTAGCTATTTTATATATAATTATTTCTTTCAGTTTTACAGTACTGCTGAAGTACCAAATTCACGTTAGCACAGTAAAGTGGAGTACTAGTACTACTAGTCTTTTCCGTGTTGCTATGAAACTGGTTAGTAACCCAACTGACCTGGGACATAAGTTAGATGGAAACGTCACGGTTCAGAAGTAGTTAAATTAGTAAATAGAGGAAAGGAGATAGCAATTTAATATAACAATGGTCTAGGTTTTTAAAAAAGTTAACTATTATTCATTAAACTATTATTCATTAATGATACTGAGTTCAATAATGACCCAACCAACTTTATGCGAATCGTCAACGTTTAAAGTTGTGACCTCATTTCCTGTGTCATTACTTACTTTACAACTTAACCACTTCTTGCAGCCTGTTGACTTTGAAATAATATAATAACTAATAATAATTTTAACTGCAAATAAACAAACACATGAATGTTTAGTTTAAAACAATTAACAGAACCAACTTACCGATGTTGACAATACGGATCCCCTCATCATCCTCCAAAAACTTAAGCACCATCGTAACATTCTCCAGCTTCTGGGTCCTGAAGTTAGGACGCTTGTTGACATGTTTGAATTTCTTCCCCGACAACACCTCTATCAGGGAAACTAGTCGCAATCCATCAGAAAAATCAGATTCTAAATCCGCCAGCTGCTTGTTGACGGTCTTCAGATGTTCATTAGCCCATCTGGTAAAGGTATTTTTTTGAATTAATTTCCACTGGGCGTCGTCAGCGAGTTCTCTCTCTGTGGTAGTCATCTCCTCTTCTTCGTCCCAAGCGGGATCTCCCGTCTGCTGCATTGTGCTTCGGTATTTATTTCCCTTGGATTCTAAAGCCGGGCGGTGTACACGTAGGTTTGTGGGCGTGTAGAAACAATCCTACTCTTCAATTGCTTCAATAGGTTTTTTACTGTGCTGTCCTATCAAAATCAAGCTGAAAGACAACAAAAGACATAAACATGGTTAGAAATAGGTGTACCGGCTTTTTATGGGAACATGGTAGTTTGTTAATTTGGGATAGTGCTGACTTTATTGCGTTTTGGTTATGTTTTGGCAATGTAGAGGTTTAGGAAAAGCCTACACACAAAATTAAAACAAAAATGTCTCTAATATGTGCGTTAAGTGTAAGCAAGTTAAAACAATGAAGGTGTGTTAATGAAAGAATATATTATATTACAATACATACACACTTTAACGCACCTATACGTGGGACACCACTGCCGCGACAACATTGGTGCGAATTCACGAAACTAGGATTATCATCTCCTAAGTGTCAGGATAGGTTAAGAAAGGAGTAAATGCACCATAGAAGCATGTCGTAAGTGGCGACCAAAGGCGGATGTTGCCTTGGGGTTGAAGAAGAAGAAGAAGAAGAAGAAGAAGAAGAAGAAGAAGAATAAGAAGAAGAAGAAGAAGAAAAAGAAGAAGAAGAAGAAGAAGAACAACAACAACAACAAGAAAAAAAAGAAGAAGAGGAAAAAGAAAAAAAAAAGAAAAAGAAAAGAAGAAGAAGAAGAAGAAGAAGAAGAAAAGAACAAGAAACAACAACAACAACAACAACAACAACAACAACAACAAGAAAAACAAAAAAGAAGAAGGGTAACAACAACAACAGCAATAACAACAACAATAACAACAACAACAAAAAGAAGAAAAAGAAGAAGAAGAAGAAGAAGAAGAAGAAGAAGAAGAAGAAGAAGAAGAAGAAGAAGAAGAAGAAGAAGAAGAAGAAGAAGAAGAAGAAGAAGAAGAAGAAGAACAACAACAACAAAAACAACAAAAACAAGAAAAAGAAGAAGAAGAAGAAGAAGAAGAAGAAGAAGAAGAAGAAGAAGAAGAAGAAGAAGAAGAAGAAGAAGAAGAAGAAGAAGAAGAAGAAGAAGAAGAAGAAGAAGAAGAAGAAGAAGAGGAGGAGAAGAGAAGAAGAACAACAACAAGAACAAGAACAACAAAAAACAAGAAAAACAACAACAAAATGAAGAAAAGAAGAACAAGAAGAAGAACAAGAAGAAAAGAAGAAGAGAAGAAGAAGAAGAAGAACAAGAACAAGAAGAAGAAGAAGAAGAAGAAGAAGAAGAAGAAGAAGAAGAAGAAGAAGAAGAAGAAGAAGAAGAAGAAGAAGAAGAAGAAGAAGAATTATCGTTTCACCTCTGGTTAACCCGTGACTATTTTTTTTTAAATATAACTTATGTAGTACAGTATCATGATTTCTTGGAAGTAAAACTGACTGCAAAAAACATGGTAATATAATAGACAGAAAGGGTAAATAAAACATGAAATGCTATCACCTTGAAATGAAAAAAAAAGGGTTAACAAAAGGAATGAAAGAGCATTAAATGACGGAGCAAATACTTGGTTGATTTGACTGTTACGACTTAATATAATACCTATATCAGTAAAAGTTGTATATAAACGCAACTGAAATTACACGAAGTGCAGTTAAAATTACAACAATTAATTTACATGTTAAATTCTTTCTCACAACTTGTTCGCATTAAAACCGGTAATAGCAATGCTCTTCGTATATTGACCCCATGTCCTGAATTCAATATACAGATTAAACGCAGAATTATAAACAATAAATATATTTTCACAGTTATTATAGTAAACAAAAAATTGTAAAGAAAGGAAGCTCAGTAATTGGCACAAATTACCAACAGCTGCACCGGACGACAGAGAGTTCGTTATTTTTCCACAATGGCAGAGGTTTTATTTCAAGGGAATGAAGAAGTCGTTCAGTCACTCTAATTGTTCCCCGTGTGGATTCCGTGGTTTCATTAAAATAGACCTACTGCTTCATCCAAAACAAGCATGACGTAAAAGTCGACTAATTTGGGTGCTTCCTTCAAAGGCGGAGTGCGTCGACCTGAGAGGTAAGGAACCAACAGTTTACAAAGAAATAAGCCAGATACAGATAAGCCGGATGCACATATAAAATTCAGGTCCAGGAACAAAGCCGAGTTCGGAAATGGCCGAACAACCGGTGAATGAAAATAACAACTATAACACTATATTTCTCACACATCATCATCACAATAATTTTCATCATCATCTTCGCTGGCTGTTGAAGATGGGGACGGAGCGCTTATGAGATTGCCCTGAGTGCTGTGATGTCGGTTCTTGAATCAAATGAAATCAATTCAAATTAATCCTCATCTCGCTGTTTCATTCATACATCACATTCGGTCTACAGTCTACTAGTCTGTTCATTCTATCTTGTGCAATATTTGTGATATCATGGTTAATATGCAACCCAGCACCTTTAATCACTCTAATCAACGCCTGCCTCGGGATTAAATTACACAAAAGAATGGAAAACATCAGCTTAAAAATGGGTACCAGGATGGCTGTCCTGGGGAAGTAAAGACGGCCGGCGTAATGATGACCACAATACCCACCTAGTGCCGATGGTCTGTAAAAACATGGGCGCTCCTAAAGGCGTGAAAAGATGCCTTTTTTAACCTTTCAATAGGAAACATTGTACCATTGCTGGGCTTTCCTATTTTTAATTGACTGGCATTGATTGACGACCTGAACACTAATGCTTCGGTTTAGCGGTCGAAGTGGCAGTTTTTTTAGTCTACAATAGCATGATAATAATAATAATAATAACAATCAATTTACTGATTTTGGTCGTAATATTGATAGTCATGAAAACACAAAGACATAAACTATGACACACACTGACAAGGTATTCGCAGGTTTTGAAATCCCGAACAAAATATGATCTCTAAATTATATAGTTTTATAAACAAGTTACATATTGTCAATTTTAATGTTATTTCCATTTTAACATATGCCAGTTATCACACATGAAGGTCGTCCCCATGTGGGATGCAGTTTTTCGTTATTTGAAGTCCCACCCTGGCTTTTGCCGGGGACCCTGAATATAGCCGGGCCATAAATATGGCATAGCTGAACTGGGTTTATGGGACCTTTCCATATGTGATCCTCATCCACATGGTAGCACTTTGTGTCATCGGGTGTTTATCGCTTGTGTGATGTCCTGGTGGGGTTCAACAAGAGAGAGAGAGAGAGAGAGAGAGAGAGAGAGAGAGAGAGAGAGAGAGAGAGAGAGAGAGACTATTTGAAAGCTGGAGAACCACTAACCACTAGTTCATGCATCTGGAAACAAATGAGCCTTGAAAGAAAATGTTTAGCATAAATTTGGATAAAGAAAAAAGATAACTGTATGGACAACAATTATTGTCAACAGTATAAGACAAGAGAAGATAGCGCTATATTGGACACACTCTGAGAAGACACCAACAGAGAATCATCAGACAGGCACTAGAATGGGAAATAAATGGACCGAAGAAACCCTGAAGCGAAAGTTCATGAGAGAAGCCAAAGGTGCTGGATTGGATTCCATCCATGATACTATTCATGGTAATCACGATATCCGTGAAAGGATTGCATAGGATCAAACGGAATGGGGGGGGGGGGGGACTGTGAGCCCTACGCGATATATACTGGCAGATTGGGATAATAAATAGTATAAACAAAAGTGCGTGTGTGTGTGCGTATGTGTGTGTGTGGATGAATGGATGGAAGCCTGTATGTATGCATGACGGTGGTCGAGACACGTCACCCACCGAGTGCCGATTGGGCTATATAATTTAGGTCCAGCTCTATACACCCAATATGTCTGTAGACGTGGACAAGGGCCCTATACTTTACTGTCATATGGACTCTTGATTATGTATGCAATTAATTTTGTAGAAATCAATTTAGCGTTGGAAACGGGACAGACTTCTGCAATACTTTCCCCATCTGCCGCTGTTATTTATTTTCCTAAGGGACCAAAGACCCTCAACCTATACACGCTATTCCATTTGTTGGTTAGATCATGACTGGCTGGATTTTGCTATTGAGCTGAGCGCTTTGCGCCACACGGTGAGCTGTGGATTTCATTTGAAATATTTGTACGTGCTCAACGTGACCTATGTTGTTAACTGCCGATTAAGAGGATGAGTGCCATGTTGCCAGAGTACGTATGCCTTATACGATTAATTGCGTGTGCAGTTACTGATCTGTCGTAACTGCTGCTTTCATCAACGATGAACTGCATTTCTAATGTCGGACTGTGGGTCACGTTTAACTGCTGTCGTATGCATCTGATTCGCGTCTTTGCTGTTTGATTGGCCAAGACTATACAGTCTGTATCAGTCTGTTGTTGATGTTGTTGTTGTTGCGAGGGTCAGTGATGGACATTCTGTGTGGTTTTTGTTGGCACGGGAACTCCAGGAGCAACTCCGGGATTACCTGTTAGTAGGAAGTAGGAACTGTGATTATCTGATTGCACGCTGAGGCGGCCAGTCTATCGTCAACACTTCTTAGTGGCCTGTCACGACATGCATGAATGTTTCTTTTCCTATCATGCCTATATAACCATGACTGTCTACGTCTAATGTCTCTAATCAGCATTAACCTTTATTTACAGAACTGACTCGCGGAGATTGTTCCGTTGCTCGTCCAGGTATATTTTCTATTTCCCACAAACACACATTTCAGGGTTGCCATATTAGCATTTTTTATGCCAGATTCCACAAATCTGGCACATTTGAAATTGAACTGGCATAAGATAATGAACTGGCATATTTTGGCATATTTGGGTTTTTCCTAACAATATAGACCTACAGTTAACATCTATATTCCAGTTTGACTTTGTTGTGATGTCCTGGTACGGACTAATGGAGATTCGCACCATTTCCAGTTGCATTTGTTGTCTTCGTAAATGGATCGTGACTTCGATAAACCAAGGCCCTCTGTAATTTATGTTAATCTACTAGAAAAAATGC